GATTATGTCCTGAGCGTTTAAGACTGAACACGAGATCGACGGACAATATTCAAGAAAAATGTCCCAAACGTACTCACACGAACATTGTACCTGAAGCACAAACTCAAGTATGTGGTTCATGGTATTATCATCCCTGCTGGAGCCTGGTGATGCTAAATTCACCTGGATAGAAAACAGCATGGTGCCTGACTCCTGTCGTGATATCTGCAATACTGAAAGTCCATACCAACCGTATCAGAACACAAATGTAGGAGCAAAATGATCAGGGGCAATATAATTTGATAGGTCTCACAAACTAATCCTATAATCTGACTGGACTGGCAAAGTCTCAGTTTGATGCTCTGTCTTTGGGGAATACTCATGCAGGATCTATACGAATCGATATGGGGATTTATCCTTCAATACTCTACTGGATTATCCGACAGAATTATATTTATAGTCATGAGTTTCAAAAACACTTTTGCTGTAGGAATAAAAATACTCTCGCCCTATGCTACTTTTGTGAATGAATTTGCCTCTCTTTATCTTGAATTTGGACATATCAGTCATTAGATGTTAATATCTAACCATTCCCATCTTTTTAGTAGAGAAGTTCCAATTATGCATTCCTATGCCGGTGTCACAGTGTGTACAACCAGCGGCCACTTGTCAAAACAGTGATGATTTTATTCACTGTTAGGCACATTGTGTTAGTTTTTGGTCTGTAACTCGTTGATTAGTGAAGTAACGATACAGCGATTGCTCATCACATATTTCAGAATGATGTTGGAAACATTCACATCTGGATACAATCACGTGACTTAGGTGTGACAACTCAAATATTATTTTTTCTGCAAAAGTAACGTAGGCAGTATTCTACAGCGGAATCCAGTCTTCCAAGGTTTGTCATAAAACTGAGTAGAGTAGTAAAAGCAATAAATGGTGGTACAAAACTATGGAAACTACTGGACATGCTCTTTACCAACCTGCAGATTCATTATTTTTATATGGAATTATGGGATAGTTGTAGGTGCTCTCTCCAACTGCTATCGGCCTGCTCTCATTCAAAACTCTTCGAACTGGGAAACGACTCAGTATACTTCAATAGATTGTGAAGTCCGAAAGTTTAGCGTGAAAGAGGTCGATGTGAAAAAAGATTGAAGCAGGCGACGTAACTTTGGATTTTCCACAGTCATCTGGAGAATGTCTGTGATCATTTACATTGGGTGTATACTAGCTGAAGCAGGCAGTATCATACACCAAAAACATCTTTCTCGAGATAAAATGTATGACGTGTGGATCAGTAGTGAAAAGGGTAGTTTTCTCTGTGTGAAAATGTGTGTGTTTGAAGTAAGGTGTATTCTTTCAGGTTTCAGTATGATCTACCTATACCACATTAATGTTGCACGAGTCGCGCAAGCCCAAGAGTATTGTATTGTGCACACATGGCATCAGTAATATGGTTCCTGGAATCCAAAAAGCACAAGCTCATATAATCAGCTTTCATACATGAAATACGTTCAGGATGTTGTAACAATCATTAATGATGCTTCTTATTAATTCTACAACGATTGAAGGCTGATTGTGAATACTTAGTGTATAGTGTGTGAAATATTTTTATGGGCGAGTTATGAACAAAATTAAAGGCGATTTTCTGGCCATTTTTTCGGTTTCAACATTTCTAGGTTAAAGTGAAAATAATATTGTAAATAAGGAAATTCGAAGAGTTGGCAAAATTACCATCTTATAAACTCCTTTTTTTGATATAGCTTAAGAATTATAAAGTGGGGAAGGGCATTTTTAATGGTGATAAATTAAGAAGCTGAAATTTTTGAAATGAATGATGTCGGGGAATAAAACTTATGTGGCCGTACGTCTGTAATTGTCTATAACTGTTACATACAAATAGATAACTTAAGTATTTTTACGTAAGTACAGCATGCAAACAGTTACTTGATGAAAAATATAAATGCTATCGACTTTGGGTAAAAGGATACTACAGGTCTGGACCCATAGGGGAAAATACACAATTTACTCTTAACTTATTTACATTGAAATTGCATGCCATTAACAGCCAGTTCTTGGTATATTGTGCCATCAGTATTTTATTTCTTGAAATATCTAGAACTGATATTAGAAATATGCTTGTTTAACTTCAAGAATATAATGTCGATTTCCCCATGAGTCCAGACTTTGGGACACCCTGTATTTTTATCTGCAAACTTACGTGTTTAATTCTAGTTAAATATACATTTCTAAATGTTTCTCAAAATTCAAAGAAAAAATTCATTAATAAACTGTCAGATTTCTTAGATAGGTCTTTAGTCTAACAATGTCTCAGTGTTAGAATTTCTAAATGTCGAGCTGAAATGGCTTTTGATATACTGTTTTGATTAATATATTTGTTAAAGTTTTTCTTGGAAGAATTAGGCTATTAATCCGTGTTTCTTAGTGGACGAAAGATGTTAGTCCATTGATTTCAATAATTTTTAAAAACGCTAAAATATTCTTTTGTGAACAGTATGGTTAAGCAATTACAGATGTTTGACCTTCGACCCCTAGTCTTAAAATGGCAGCTTCATCGAGGCTCAGTTGTGGTTATCTCTTTGTGTTCTAGAAGGCATTTGATTAATAAATATTCATTAATAATATTTTGCTAGTTATCTTTCAATTACTAGATCTATTCGTGAATGATTTTAATAATTATAATGTATAACTTATCATGGATTCATACAACTGCCAGGATCCAACTGACAAAGCTGGTGTTTATATGGATGCAGACAACCTCACTACAAGAATCCAACTGATAAAGTTAATATTCATATGGATGCAGACAACCTCACTACCAGGATCCAACTGACAAAGCTGATGTTTATACGGATTCAAACAACCTCACTACCAGGACCCAACTGACAAAGTTAATGTTTATATGGATGCAGACAACCTCACTTTCAGGATCCAACTGACAAATCTGATATTTATATGGATGCAGGCAACCTCACTACCAGGACCCAACTGACAAAGCTCATGTTTATATGGATGCAGACAACCTCACTACCAGGATCCAACTGATAAAGTTGATGTTTATATGGATGCAAACAACCTCACTGCTAGGACCCAACTGATAAAGCTGATGTTTATATGGATGCAAACAACCTCACTGCCAGGACCCAACTGACAAAGTTATGTTTATATGGATGCAAACAACCTCACTACCAGGACCCAACTGACAAAGCTTATGTTTATATGGATACAAACAACCTCACTGCCAGGATCCAACTGATAAAGTTGATGTTTATATGGATGCAAACAACCTCACTTTCAGGATCCAACTGACAAATCTGATGTTTATA